AAATTCTCTATCCTGGAGAAGAGAACTGCCATGAGGATTTTGGAGGGGTTTGGTGGTGAGGTAAAGTAATTCATGAGGCAGATGGGATGTAGGAAGCCACTAAAAGTTTGGCTTTATCACTTAGAGATATTTGGGGAAGTCTGATATTTTCATCACTCCTCCTCCCCTTATAACCCTCCTTTCCATCTCCCAACTTGCGGATGAATAAGGGAGGGACCCAGAAATGGGACTGCACAGATACAGATGTACACACAGCCCCACAGGGAGCTCTGGCTTCACAGAACTATGGGCTGCCAGGCTGGGAAAGCCTTTCTTATGGTGCTGGTAAAGTATGACAGGACTTCTGGGCTGGGGCCAGTACTGGACTGGAAAATGAGTAAGGGATTCAGTGACCGGCAAATGATCTGGTTTTTGCATATTATCTCAGGAGATTTCATCAAGCAATTTTACATAATCCACTTGCCTAAATAAGCTGGTTTGGATTTCTGCAAACCCAAGCAGTAGGTGTGCCTGAGACCCCTTGGTGCTCTCAGCACCTTCGTGGTTCACACAGAAATCTATTTTGTTCATAAGCTGCTTTTCTGAAACATCAGACCAGTAAAAATTACATTTATTGTGGGATAGCCAAGCAGCTGTCAGGGAGCCAGACTGAGAGGATGTTTGTGCCTGTAACCTGCAATATTTTATGGGTATAATATAAAATCCAGTGGTGGAAATGATTCAAGTAATTAATGTGCCAGATGAGGACCTCTGTATTTTAGCATTCACAGTGATCACTGTGGTTATCTTGAATGAAATACTCAGCTCCTCAGAACTGTATGGGCTAAAGGGCAAGATGAAAAAGTGAATTGTTTTTATTACACTGTGAGCTTTGATTCCATGTGCTGGAAAAGTGGATTGCCTGAAATGTGCCTGAGCTGAGGGTACCATGTCATGGCAAGGCAGCTGTGGTTCTGGAGGGGGTCTGGCAGCCCAGGCTCTCGATGCAGCAGTTCTTGCTGCTGTTCCTTGGCACTCGTGTTCCTCTCCCTCTGTGCCCTGCCAGCCCAGGCAGGGAGCTGCCACTGCTGGCCTGGCCCTGGGAGGAAGGCAGGGCTGCAAGGTCACCATGGCAACACGGAGATCTCTCCTGGAGTAGATAATGGACAGTAAATTATTACTTTTTTCCCCACTCGATGCTCTGCGTGTCAGAACTCTAGATGCAAATAGTCATTGCTCGTTTAAATATTAAAAGGTCATTATTCTACTAAAGGTTTTGGAAATGCATGGATTAAAGGTGCTTAAAGAACATTTTTGAAAACCTATAATTTACTCAAATTTACCTAATTCTGTAAGCCTGGGATTTATTAGCCATTCTGTTAATCAACTCTCTAGTGTTTTTTGTGTTAAGTACAGATTAAGATATTACTTGTGAACTCATGACTCTTCCTAAAGTCTTGCTGACAGCACAAGAGCTTAAAACTAGTTCAGAAAATTAAATAAGTTTTTATGGTAGACTTGTAATGGTGGATTGGTATTAAAGGTAATTTTTTTCCCAACTGAACACAGGGATTAAATTACTAAAGCCTTACTCTTTTCAGTATGTGAGTAAAATTTCAAATTCTCTCAGTATTATGGGTAAGGCAATCTTCAAACAAAAGACTCAGATTATTAGGTTAAGGATGTTGAATAGGTCTAGTTTATCTCATGCAATTTTTCACATTTAAATAAGGAGTAAATTATTCACAGCTGATTATTTCATACAAACATGGTTTCTGATTTTGCAGATACAAAGCTGACAGGCTTTTTTTTCTGTTTGATAGATGGGGATGGACAAAGTGAACATTTATTACCAGTCTGTGAAGATGAAACATGTCAAAGAAGTGCCATCTACCTAACCAAGCTGGGATTGGACCAGGTAATGTGAATTTGGAATAGGAAAGACCAAGCAAAATACTGTGTATATGAAATAATAAAAATTTTTCAGGCAACAAAGGAAACCTCCTCACCTGTAATTATAGAATACAAGAGACTTGTATTTATTTACTTGTGCATTCCATATCTGAAAAAAATATGGGTTTAGTGGAAGAGAGTCCTAGAATTTTTTATAATGGATAATTCTACTCAAAGAAATGATGGATGGATGCTCCTGAAGAGTCACTTTCTTGATTGTAAAACACTGCATTCGAAGCAACATAACAGTTCCAGCATGAGATGAAAAGCAAGGTTTGTGCTAAGAGCTGGAAACAAATCTAATTCAAATAAGCTTGTTTAGTTTAACTTAAGGAGTTATTTTAGAGTAAAATTACATATGCACATACATATATCGTTGAACCTGCCCACACTTCTTACCCCTAATTTCTACTTTGTCTTTGTTATTAATGGAGTAAATTTCCAGGTGGTATAGAGTATACTTTTTTAGGTTGTATATCTTTAGGACTGGGTATCTGTTAAACTGTTGGAGGGTTGTTTGTTCATGACACTACTGGCTTTCAAAGACATGGTTATAATTCATGGAATAGATTATTATATGTTCATTTATTTAAGTATGTGATCATCTGGTTTAAGTATTTATAGTGCCTTGATTTATAAAAAAGTTGCAGCATACAGTAAATTAACGAGATGTTTGTTGGATGGCTTAATAAATGTTTTACTAAATTCATATTTTGCAATGTGAACCTGAAGGCCAAGGTGACAGATAAAGTGCTTGTAGCTGACAGCAAAACCCACTGTAGGGCACTCAGAGAAAATTACAATGTGTGCCATACATGTTGCTAACCATGTTACGAATTACTGATTATTCTCTCACTGAAAAACTTTAAGTTGAATTTTGTGCTAAAAGTAATACCCTCTGATCTAAAATTCAGAATTTATAGTTGAACTTGTTACAGTCTGTAGCCCAAGTCTAGAGGGTAGATTTTCTCATTTAAAGAATCAAAATTTATAGAACACAAGCTGTAGCCTACTAGTGAGGAAAATCACTCTGTGTAGGAAAGGAAAGCATAGAGCTCCCAGTCAGTGCAGGGGGGATGACTGGGATGGAACATGACATCAGAGTTTGAAATAACTCTAAATTTGGTAATTTATATCTTTTAGCCTTCCAAGCTCAGCAGCTCTGTTCTCAGAAGCCCCATTTGGCTGTGCATGCTGTTTGGTTGGTTGTGGGTTGTTGGTTCCTTGTTTTGGTTTGGATTTATTTTTTTTTACATTCATCCCCCCTACACACAGAACACAGCCAATGGATTGGAGCATTGCTGGATGCTGGGGTACAGCAGAGCTTGAGTTCAGGGTCAGAGCCTTTGCACAAAGCAAGTGGATGCTCACTTTGTGATCCTTGCAGTGCTTTGCTCTGGGGAGAACCAGGCTGTGGCCACATGCTGGAACAGGGGAGTGCCAGGGCTGCTCCTTGGCCGAGGACAGCTGCACTTGAGCTCTCAGTTTATTTCCTTACTCTGTAATACAAGAATTAAAAGGCATTTGAGTTTTGCTCCTCAAGTAAACTTGAGACAAATGTTCCAAATTAAAGTAATTTCACTGTAGAAAGTGAACCCCCCACAAACAGCAGGAGTAGCGGGGTCTGAGGATCCTGTTGTTCAGGGTATGTTCCCAAAAGGAAGTGGTGCAGTAGTGGCAGAGGAAAGTGTGGGTCAGTTTGCATAATATCAGAATTTTTTCAAGATAGAGTCTGTTATTGTAACCTGCTCTGATTTAACATTGCATGCAGCCAGTTTTTTTCGTGCTTCATAAGTTAATTTTTTGACAATAAAAACTACTAGTTTGAACAAACTACTTAGCCACAAATACATCAGATATTTAACCTATATTTAATTTGTTTACTCAATTTAGCAATTTCACTGTGTAGCTTCAATTTAAAAAAAAAATTCCGAGTGATAATGACTTTTGAGATAAAAATTAGCAGTTAAATATTGCCCCTTTATTTTAAACAGCAAAGAATCCAAAAGATTCTCACTCTGGTAGGAAAAAGTATTAAAAAGTATTTGGACTTTCACCTAGAAACGTTAAAGCAATTTTCCCTCCCTATTTTTAGAATGACTTTAATTAAAAATGACAGTATCAAATGGCATGCAATAATGACTTGTTCTGGTCTAACCTTTTAATGAATTCTATCTAGAATACTCTTTTCTTGCACTCATCTGGAGGTGATGCAGATTTTTTCTTTTGAAACTTTATCTCTTTTCTGTTCTGAAACAGTGAAAAGTATCAGTGTCTTCATTCATATGTCTTCAGCTTTTCCCATGTCTTGCATGCTTCCTTCAGGAAGAAATCTATTCAAATATGTCAAGTTTTTTATTTATTTGGAAGTAAAATGTTTCATTTCACTGAATTTGGTCATTGTGAGGTCAGATGATAAGCTTTGACTAAATCAGTTACTCTTCATGAGAAATTATAAACATAAACTTTGTGGCAACAGACTGAAATAGACTCTGTTTACTAATCACTTTACAGTTTGATGGAAACAATAAGGAGCTCTTGTAGTGGGCAGAATGTGTTTGAACAAGGGGATGGGATCCCTTGTGGAACTGGTGGGGAATCTGTGGGAAACTGAGAAATTGCAAGTCTATTACTGAAAAAACAGAAGACACTGTATCTCTATTGTCTTTTTTCAGTTTTTGTGGCTTATTTTTTAATTAAGCATGTAGCAACAAATTCTTGTTTTCAAAATTCCTTTTTCTTTTTTTGAGAAATTGATCTCAAATCTGAAAGATCTCAAATGAGATGACAATCTTATAAAAAATACTTTGCCTACTGGGCTGTTTCTGTCTTTCCTGCTTATTTGCTGTAGCATTTGATAAAACCAAATGAGAAACAGTTACTGCAGTTCCATGAATAGTGTGTGATGCTGTGGGATGAAATGCATAAAAGTAAAAATACACATCTGTACAATTAGTGGCTCTAAAACTTACACTGAGGAGAGGCAGGCAATGGCATGTCAGGTTTTGGAGTTGTTCCAGTAAGATCCTGTCTGTCAGGATATTTCTCATGATGTCATTGGGCCCAACTGGATGGCTACTGGAAAGCCAGGCCAAGCTAGGAGAATTATTTCAAGGATAACCTTTCATCATAGGTTTTAATTTATGTGATGCTGGTTGTGGGAGGTTAAGTGTTAGGAATAGCTCAGATTCTTTTCTTTGAGGTGGTGGAGCAGAAGTAAAGGCCAACAAAATACACATGAGTGGCTTAAGGAGATACAGACCTCCTAAGGTTTTAAAGGAATGGGAATGTTTCCATAGCAACAGCAAAATTGCTGTCAGATCCAAGTGGAATCCTATAAGCTGGTTCAGATTGTGGCAGGTGTTAGGACACCTCAGACTTCTTTAAATTCACCTGCAATAGCTACAGTCTAATCTGGGAAATGTTTTGAAGTCCTTGGTACTGTTTAATGTAGGAACTCTAGATACTGTGATATTCTTAGAGATGACTAATTCTTCTTTAATTTTGCCAAGTATTCAATATGATTTTTCATTTGTTTCCTGAGGCAAACACTATTATTTCAGTCCCTTCATCTGAGAGTTTCTTTGTGGGCTTGATGATTCTTATAACCTTTTTCTGTACAATTGGAAGGTTATAGCTTTATTCCTCCTGGAAATGGAGCAGGTCTGAAGTAGAACACAGCAGTGCATCCTGCAGCAAACCCCAGTTCCTCTAGGCTAGAGAGGGAGGTGACAGCATCGATTATCAGCTGCAGTCAGTCAGTGTCAGAAGGTTTTCCTCATTCCTGTGTAACAGATTAAAGGCGGAAATGGACTCAGCTGCTGTAGTTTTTATAAATGTCATATTCTACAAGGTCCTCTCATCATTTCTATGTTGCTTCTCTTTCTAAAAGCAGCTGGGGGCTGTGAGAATTGAAAACATGACTTTTACTGCTTTGGTTACTTTTTTTCTGTGGATTGTCATCTTCTGGGCTTTGAACACCATAAGTTAATGGTGTAAAGCACAGTAATTTCCTCAGCTGTTAAGGGATTCAGGTGGCCCTTGCACGCAGTGAAAGCCTAATGCATGCTGAAATCCTGCAAGTTACTTGCTGTGTGCAGTTGAACTGCAGTGCACTGAGAAGGAGCCCTGGGGAAGGGACTTGTCTTACTTCTAGTGCTGGGGCAGCTCTTTGAGGCCACTCCTGATGCTCATCTTTGGCATTCCCAGAAAATGCATTGCCCAGGAAGGGGCTACTGATTTCCCAGCTCTGTGACTTGCAGCTGGCGCCCTGCCTGTGTTCTGTGGCCTGCAAGCAGCAGCTGGCTGGGGGTGGGTTTTGGGTTTCCTGGGTTTCTGGCCATAATTTAAAAATGGACACATACTGATCCCACAGGCTGGGCTCACAGACCTGCTCACAGGCAAGAGAAGTGCCTTCACTAATGTATGGAAGAGTGAAGACTTTTTAAGAAATGAGCCCTTGACAGTGACTGCAAGGAGCTTTACATTTTTCTCAAATCCCCACATCTTTTTCAAAATTAAAATGATGTTGCTTTCACAGAGCAGGAAAGCATTCTCTTTTCTACTCCTTGAAAAAGAAATGTTTGAAGAGTTTAAAATTTTCAAACATTTAAATATTTTTCCTGTATTATCCTAAAAATCATTATTTGAAAGATCTAAAATATCCATATAAATGTTTTAAGTGGTGTTAGCAGTGATGCTATGCAGAAGAATTCAAGAGAAAATAACTGAATCTGATTTCTCTGACTGAATTTTATATGTTCATTTAAAATTTCTTTTAAATATACACTTACTCAATTTTTTGTCTTTTCTCATCTGAGCTGTGTAGGAGAAATCATATGATCAGAAAACTGGAAGAAATAGCTTGATGTGTCCTCATTATACTCTCCTTTTTCTATCTTAGAAATTAAAAATTAGTTTCAGTCTTTTCCTATTAACATAGTAACAGCAAACATGAAGCTTAAAGTAATTGTCTGGATTATCAAATACAAAATAAGTAGGAGATTTATATTGTTGGCAAACACATTTTCATTATATGTCAACTATATGTCCCTAGGCACAGGAACAATTAATTTTGCATTACAGTACACAATAGTGGAGTTTGTACTAGAAATCTACAGAAGGAATTTCACCATAAGCATGGATTATTCTGAATGTAAACTGTGAGTAAGTTACAGCTAGTGCTGGGATGTGATCTGGTTATGCATCAAACAAGGCTGATGTTCTGGAATGTTACACAGCTATTTTTGGGAAAAGTCCCACAGCTGCTGCAGTGGTAAGGATGGATTTGCTCTGTGACATCAAAGGTGCTGATGCTTGGTAGCAATAGGTGATGTTGTGCTCACCTGTTGTTTTGTATCTCATTGTAGACCTTTAGGAATGTGAAATTGCATTCTATTAATCACTCTGAATAGAGTAAAAAGAGAAACAAAATTGTATTTGTGCCTAAAAATTCATTTTTAATTTTGTCTCTTTAAGATAGTATTACCATACCTGGGAACATTTAGAAAGTATATGATGGATATAATTGGATTTTACTGCAATGACTGTGTGAATGATACCATGTGAAGTGAAAGCTATATTATATTTCATGGTTCTGATTTCAAACACTGTTTTTCAAAATTAGACTATTTTGCAATAATATTGTTTCATCTGTCTTCCACATGACAAGTGCTAAGAAATCAAACCTGCTGAAAAACTTCCCTCAGAGTAAGAGTATTGTCCTTATTTTCTATTTCTTAGATTTTTGCAAAGCTTCAGCAATCACAAGTGACTAATTAGACATGTGCATGCTGTGGGGTGTGCGGGCCCAAGTGTGTTTGATGTCAGGTTTGGGGTTGCAGTGGGTGTTGCAGGTCAGGATTCAGTTCAGAGCCGTGGCACACACTGGGTTTGTGCACTGACAGGCAGGACTGCCCCAGGCTTCTCAGCCATCTCTGGGCTCCACACAGCAGCCACCTCAGTGCACTTCTGCAGGCATTTTGGGGGCTTCTCTCATCTGCCTGTGGTTGTCTGTAATCCCAAGGGAGCAGTCACAATTGCCATGTGGCAGGAATGTTTTTGACCACTGGATTGTGCAGCAAGGGAGTCCTTCCATGGCAGGATATGATACTGTCATGGGTGTTGTTCTGGTTCCTGAAAGAGTTAAATTGAGGCTTGGGTGAGAGACATGTAAGATTTTTTAAGAGCTTTTGATGTTGGTGATAGCGATCCTTTGAGATGACACCCCTCTGTCCTTTTGAAGGCATTGTCAGTTAGTTGACGTATAAAATTACTTCTGACTTTTAAAATGACACTGATGGTTTTTCTGTAGCATTGAAATGTTAACCCTGGCACTTCAGCTTCATACTCACTTGCAAAATTACCTTGATTTTAATTAAGATAAATTTTTATTTAGCACCTCGGCAGTATTTTGGAAAGTAAGTGCAGATGCATTCTATTTCTTGTCCTGGAGAAATTATACTTTGCATTTCTTTTGTAGTTTCAGTTTGATACTTTAATCTTAATTTCTTATCAAAGAGTTCAGTATCTGATGCTTCTGGGGATATAGGAGGGGAATTGAAGCTCTTGAACTTCTAAATATCCATGAATAATAAAATTGTTCAAGCTGAAATGAACCTTAGGAGATCCAGCCTTCTGCTTTAAGCAGGAGCAAACTGAGTTCAGACCATGTTGTTTAGAGCTTTGTCCAGTTAGACTTTGAAAACCCCCAAGGACAAAGATCCTGCAACTTCTCAGGGCCTCGTTTGCTGTTTAATTAGATTGTTTATCTCTAGTCAGAACCTCCCTCATGTCAGTCTGACAATTTTCTCTTGCTCTTCTGTCTTGTATCACAGTAGAGACCCTGGCTCCATCTCAGCTGGCTCCTTGCAGGCATTGCAAGATTGCCTAAATCTTCTGTTCTCCAAACTATCCCTATGTCCTCAGCCTGCCCTCTGAGGAAATACTCAGTGCCTGACAATCTTGTTGACCCTCCTCTGAGCACACTTAGTATTCTCAAATCCTTTGTGAACTGTGGGGCACAAAACTGGACACAGAACCCAGATGCAGATGAGCAAGTGCTGTATAAAAAACAGTCCTGGGTCATCCTGAGCAGGAGCACAGGCAGCAGCTCCAGTGCAGAGCTGGTTTGCTGCCCAAGCTGCTGTGCCCAGCTTAACCCTCCCCTCCCTCAGGAGAGCTGTACCCAGCTGGGCACAGACAGGGTGTCTGTAGCTGAGTGTCTGTTTGCCCATGCCTTTCTAGGGCCCCTCTGAATGGCCATCCTGTCCTGCAGCATATGACAGTATCCAGCAATTTGGTGTTGGCCGCAAATCTCAAGAGGCTGCATCCATCCTCCAGCTTTACTGATGCCTATTGCATTGCTTTGCAATTCCAGGGGAAAAAAAATGAGACTCGGGATCTCATGGCCCTGATAGCTAGGTCTTACCTAAATTTAAAGATTACTAGAAATTCCAGGCAGGCCTGAATTTCAGTTAAGGTGTTCCTGAATGTTTCCATGTTCTGGTTGTATTCTTACAACCTTAACTATATTTTCCTGTTCTGGAATAACTGAGCGCATAAAAAAATACTTCAAATTATTTTTTTCTTTTGCTGACAGAGTTAGAAAATAATCCTTACTTGGAAATGGTTAAGAATCCTGATGAAGTGGTGTCAGCTGTTTTAAATAGAACTCCATTGTTTAAATAAATAAAAATAGTTTCTTTACCTAGTTGTTCTTTTTCTTTTGTTTTATTTTACAGTGGATTCCAGTTTTGCAAGATTTTAGAAATAAAGACACAGTCTGGGGCTTTGTACCATATCAAAATGATAAATCTTCAGCAGAAATTTCATTTCCAATTACACTTCACATTGGAGATTACAATATGGATGGCTACCCTGATGCACTTGCTATATTGAAGAATACTTCTGGAAGGTAATGCAAACCTAGAAATAAAGCTGTCAAATTCATGTTCAATCATTAGTCATAGAAATTACTAACTTTAGTGCATCTCATTCATTTTATCAAGTGAGCAAGACTTTTGATCTCTGAGTGTTTCCTTTTGAACCCAAGTGTACATTTATATGCTATACTCAGAATGCATAATTGTATAGACTCAAACTGGGATTCTAGGTGGGGAATTCCATCAGGGACTGGAATATGAGGCAGCATTTTGGGCACTCCTCCCAGAGCTCAGGGGCTGATTCTCTCCCTTTCCTTTCCCACATCATCTTCTGTAAATTCCTGACTTCAGCTGTTAGGCTGCTGAGAGCTGGGGAACCTGTTCTGTGCTGTCTCATGGAGTGAGCACTGACTGGTGACTCTGCTGAAAAATGCAGTCAGTAGTGGTTTGGCGTTTTCGAGAACCAGGAATTTACCACTGATTTTTGCATTGTCCAAGAGAACTGAAAGTAATCACACACACACGCAACACCCTCAAAAAAGAAACTTATAACCCTTCTTATTGAATTTTTCAGTGTCATCTTCTCATCCTCTTTTTTTTAAAATTTTTTCTTCATTGCTTGCTTTCCCAATACTTTCTACTGCTACCATCTGGTGCTAGGTGGGAGAGGGCATGTGGGGATGCTCTCAGGGAGCCTGTTGTACACAGAGGAGTCAGTGATCCATGTAAGAGCTGACCTGAGTAGGTGCATTCCCGAGCTGCTGGGCTCGTGCCGCCGGATAAACGCAGCCGGCTGATCGGAACGGAGCAGCCTGTGGGCAGCTCTCACCTGGCACCTGGGGATGCTGCTGCTGGCATGTCCTTATCTTTACCTTGAAGTGCAGCAGCATGTTTGCATGTGAACATGCTTTTGCTTGACAGTAGGGATGATGAATAGACTTGTTTACTTGGGAGAAAAGCTGAGAGCCCCAGAGACCACGATGCCAGTGAAGCTGAGCAGAGCCAGGATGTGTGCACGTGAGTGCGGTCTGTGCTGCACAGCTGACTGCCAGCATCTGCAGAGGTGGAACATGATCTGTGCTATTGCCTTTCTCTTCATGTCATTGCTTTAAAAGGTATCTTAACCCATGCTTTGTGGAGTCTTAATGTCTTCCTCAGGTGACAAATACTTGCACTAATGCATTACAAAGCAGAATAAGTCTCTCATACAAATGTATTTGTTACCTTCCTCTGCATGGTATTTTGAATGATCTTGGGTGCAGGTTCATAGTTTGAATGTATACTCAATATGGAAAACAAGAGAGGACCTTTCTTTGATGCTTCTGATAGTAAGAGAATTTGGCGCTGAAGTCCAAGAAGTCAATTCAGGTCTTCTAGTGGTTGCCTGAACATGAGTCACCCACTGTCATTTTTGTGTTAGCATTCTTCTGATAGTGACACACCTAAAAATGACCCAGTTTGAAGAGTAGCGTGCCTGTGTTCAGCCTACATGATGTGAATCATGACAAGGCTGTGAGCAGCTGAGCTCTGTCTGTACCTCTGAGCCTTAAAATAACAGCAGAGCAGCTGTTTCTATTCAGACACGGCAGACGAGAAGGAGGTGATGCTGAACTTGCCAGGCAAAGTTAAAGCAATCAGGCCCTGAATGTCAGGTGTTTCACTCCAGACTTTCCTCAGCTGGGACTTTGCATCTTCTATTCAGCAGTCATTGAACAGAGACTGCAGTCAGTCTAGAGAGCAAACCAGAGCTAACCTTTCCTTTGCCAAAGTAACACAGTGACGTGGGAACTGTGAAGTTGCTGTCTTTGCTTTTGCCTAAGCCTCAGAAACCTTGTGTTTTGAGCTATCCTATCATGTGTGTCCTGGTAGCTGGCACACTTCAGAATGGTTGCATGAAGATATATGGAGTTCAGAAACGTACTTGAAGCTGTTTTAAGTCTTAGGAGCCTCTGTCCTCTGGCTGGTGTATAATTACAGCAATATAATGTCATGTAAATTCATTAAACAGTTTGTAAAAAGTTAATCCTGTAGAAGGCCAGAGGTGATCTATGTCTTGTTGCAATGAACTACTGTGATACAGTTTTATTCTCCTTGCTTCTAAATTTGTTTGCTTATTCAATTGAGTGCATTCAAAATTATTTTTAAACTTGACATCAAAGTTGAGTGACACAGTAATGTATAAGGACTGAAGGTACTGGCAGATGATATGGCAAGCTGTTAAAAAGGAGATTCAGAAAACTGAGGAATTATGGCAAAAACAGAGTAAAGTAACCTAAAAATCAAGAAATACATTGCACGTTAACATTGTATCTATCCAGTATTTGTGGAAAAGTAATGGAAACATGCTTTGTAGTTCAGGATGGAAGCAAGAGTCACTTTT